AAAGAATGTGAATATATGTTATCTTTATTTTAGAGAGGAATTCAAAGGGTGTCTCTTCTCTCAATCAAGGATGAGAGTGAGCACTTATATACATGATGATTTTTTAGAGCGTGATTATAATAACCACAGCGTACTCGCAGTAGCTTCCATGTATTCGTGATTGCATGAGTTAAGCTTCTAACAATATATTATAATGCCTAATACTACTAAGGTAAGATTAACATGGCCATGCTGGTACAATTATAGAAGGTGAGTAACGACTTAAAGAATTATACAAATACGGAAGTGAGGAAACACAGAAAATTAATCATTACAATATTTTCAACAATATTTTCTTAGACAAGAAATTTCTCCTCTAACTTATAATTCTAACGAACACTGATTTTAAATTAGGTTACTAAATCGGGCCAATCATATGTTGAGTAAATCATTGTTGAAGAAATGTATTAAAAAAACATCGTTAAGTAGATGCTTGTCTTATCGAAACCTTTATTATTATAACTTCGAGGTTGAACTTTAAAGGGAGTTATCTTTTTTTCGAATGAATTTTTTGTTTTTTTTTTTATCAATTTATCTTAACTAATTAAATTATTTTAATACTTTGGTTTATATATTTTATCAGCTTTAATTGTTTTTCCTAATTTGTCCTTTGCTACGTTGTCAAATATAATAGATTTGACTTCAATTTTTTATATTTATAGTACCAATTATACTATTGTGGTTAGTTACAATTTTTCTGAGGTATAATTTTGAGTCGTATTATTAGATCATAATTTTTGGATATAATGTGATAAATTTTCACATATCATAATAGTAACGTAATTCATAATATATAAAAGATCTGGTTATCAAAAAAAAGAGAACAGTTATACGAAAATATAAGACATCTTTTAATTAAAACTTTTTAATTTTTAGAATTCAATTGAGTGACTATATTGAATGAGAGCTTCGGTCATATATATATTTTTATTTTATGCATTAAAGAAATCAAATAAAACAGTAAATTTTATTTACTGAATTACTTTTACTATCATATCGTTTTATAATTTTTAGGTAAATAAATCAATAATTAAATTTTTAATTGCATTCTATATAAGAAAAAATGACAAGCCTATTTTTATTTTTGGAAATAAAAATTATGGATAATAAAAATAGGAACAACAAAAAAAATAAAACTCAAATTGACTGCACAGATATATAGAGTCTATACATATTAATAAGACCTAGTTCACTATATAATAAGTAAACTATTTAATATTATCAAATTTAGCTAAACACAGTTGATTAATTATATTTTCAGAATTTTTTTTTTCTTTCTCTTGTTTTCTCTTTCTTTTTTTAGATTGAAGTTCTTCCTCTTGCTCTTCAATTACTTGCAAGTTTTTAATATCAGCTGAATCATTAGGTTTTTCATAAAAGTCTCCATTATCAGATTGTACTTCATCACTCAGATAATCTTCAACGGTAGTATGATAATTTTTTGTATCATGGAATTGGTTATCTTTATTATTAGTATTAATGATATCTGATTTTTTTATATTACGAGATCGGTTTACTTTATAATTAGTATTAATAATATCTGATTTTATTGTATCATGAGATCGGTCAACATTACTATTAGCATTGGTCGAAGATTTAAATGAATTATGTTGTTGCGTGGCAATAGAATCAAGATCATCATCGATGATATCAATTATTGAAGGTGCACCTTCTGTTGCTGATTGAGAACTTTCAGTTCTAGTAATATTGATAGTAGAGGTTTTTAGATAATCAACATCGGTGGCCTCAATCATAATTTTACCAGATTTTGAAAATTTAAGAAGTCCGGATACAAAATAGTTAGATTGTAATTTAATATTAGAGCCCAAATGGCCTAAGTATTTAAACCTGGGTGATTCATGAGGATAAATAATCATTATATTCATTTTAACTTCAGGTTTACTGGTGATGGAATTATATTGGATAGTTTCTGCTCCAAAGTGGATAAAATTTTCAACTTTTTTTGGCTCACGGTTAACAGTTACAGAGTAAATGCAATGAGGGATGCTTATAGGTACATCACTTATATCAAATTCGCGATTGGGATTACCACTGTCAATAATGCTTGAGTATGCAATAGTGAAATACGGCTCAGAATTTTCGACAACATATTTACCAGAGATAAATACAATGTCTCCATTCATAAATGTCTGAGGTGGTTGGTGTGCAGAAAAGAAATATTTAAATCTGATAGCTTGAGATAAATCCTTAGTAAGTTTGTATTTGGCAACTCCATCTGAGCATGAGCGGTTGTTTTTTACAGAGATCATGACCACAATAAGTGAAATGTGAGAAACCATTTTTCTGCTATCAGAAATTTTACGATTGTAATAATTACATGATCGTAAATATATTTTTATCTTTATATAGAAAAATCATTAAATTTTTTTTATATCGTTACTAGTAGTAAGATTATCAATCTTTATTATGTAATTTTAAGTGAATACAATATTACATTATCTTTAAAGAATCATATGAGAATCAACATTAACAATAATTATCAAAGCAATTGTTCATTCATTACGGGCTTTATCGTTCAAGCTTATGTTAATACTATATGGGCTAGTTTAATTGTTATTTATATTATTGTTTTATTCTTATGCAGCCAAAATCATACGATAACATGTATGCACAAAACTAACATTAATCTTATTTACGAAAAAAGAATTCAATTTGTGCATAATTATTTTATAGTAAAAATAAAGATATTAAACTAAATAGCATTTATATATCAGCTAAAATCACACATGTGTAATATTAACATTAATCTTATCTACGAAAAAAGGATGTACACAGATATTTCAACATAAAAGCAAAGTATTTGAATTAAACAGGATTTATTTACTATACTTAGTTTGGTTACATACTGCATAATTTAATATTGATTAATAACATTTTTTGGTGATTTATCAATTAAGATGAGATAACTTTAATGAACTTACCCATTATGGCATACGGAATTAACATTAAACACGGCTCACAAATTGTTGAAAAGAGCGAATCAAAATCAAGTGTATAGATCTATATACATTATAAGATCTATAAACAAATTAGTTTGACAGATATTTATGTAATTGGCAAAATCTTGATTTTGCGTTAATCGATAACACATGTTAAAATTTCTTGATCTATAAATGATTGTTTTAAGCATTAAACAAAATTTATTATTATTTAATTCAAGGTTCAAATATAGCATATATATACTTTGCTAAGTTCTTGCATTTTTGCGTAAGAGACAAAATATCCAATATTTAGTGTATATTATTGATAATTTACACTAAATATTGGATATTTTGTCTCTTACACAAAAATGCAAGAATTTAGCAAAGTATGGAATTATCTCTTAAAAGGAAAGTAATTATAATCATACGTATAACAAACCTGAATTAGCACGTTCCTATAATAAAACAATGGTCATGTAAGCTTTATAAACTCGTATTGAATTAGTACCTGAAAATAACAATCCCAATTTCTATATTATAGTATCAATTATTATTCTAGACATAATTAGGTTATTGATTATCTAAATCGAGCATAGCGCATATCGGCCTTATTACCAAGTATTTATTATACACTAATAGGAATAATAAAAATAATTATCTCACGAATTTGTTGATTAAAACATACATATGGTTAGTGTGAATTTAAGAAATAATAATAATAATATAAAGCACCAATAAAATTTACACATCTTTAGATGATCACCAAATGAGATAAAGACCTGTAAAATCGCCAATTTAGGATAGCATAGCCTCAAAATACATATACTAAAGACAAGCCAACTAAACTAAAAGTTTTTAATGTTACTTATATGATGTTCGAGGTGTTTCCTGTTATAGTAGCATTAAAGAGGACCATTAAAGAGGACAGCTGTATTGGCAACTAAATAAAGAAAAAGAAACTTAACGAATTTGTATTTATGATATTGTCTTCGGTATACGTATTCTGGGGTATACTAACCTAAATTGGCGATTTTACAAGTTTTCATCTCGATCGGTGATCATCTAAATCTATTAGCACTTTATATTATATAGATACATATATATACTTTTATATTCACACTCGTACAGGTCTTACTTATATGTTTGAAGTGTTGCCTATCGGTTAAACCATTTTTCACGAATTAGAAATTGAGCTTCGACTTATTAATTTTGTGCTTAAAGAATTTTAAATCATAAATTAATTAATATATCGATATTGATTAATAATGTTCGATTGATTATTAAAAAAAAAAAAATCAGATGAAAATCAGACATTATATGACGAAGAGTTTTGAAGACCAAATTTCGCCTATTAATGATTTTTATATATGTTAATGATTGGATGGCTTCTATATTGTTTAAAATCATTATTAATGTAGCTATGTAATAATATTTAGTGCATCGCTACTGCAATACCATATCGGTAAAATATTATAGTTACAGTCTGAACCATGGCTCAAGCCATGCTCTAGCCATAACACAAGTCGTGGCTTCAATAACCAGGGAGCTATGACTTTAAAAAGCCTATTGCTACTTAGTTGCAGCTAAAACCGGCTTCGGTATAAGCCGTTATCGGCTCTGAAGACGCTTGACAGTAAATCTATAATCGGTTAGTTCAATTCCGAAGGACAATAATAAAATAAACCTATTGATCATCATTCACTTTAACCGAGATAAAAACCTGTTAAAACAATAAAAAATACAAGTTAGAACGTTTGTTATGGTTAAACAAATAGCATACTATAAATAGATTAGTATCACTGAACCAGGTTTAAAATTTACTTAATTGGAAGAGGGTAAAGCGAGCAGTTAAAATTCGGGTTCGGGTCAGGTTAGGGTTAGGGAGAAGTTTTATTGGTAAAATTACCCTCTCTACATTTTTTGTTAGTGCCTCAAGACAGGTTTAGACACTCAGTTATCTTATTTTCGGCTTTGTTTGCTTTTTTTTCGGTTCATAAAAATTTCGTAATTTGACGGGTTAATCCACATAGATCTCCCAAAGATGAAATATCGTGAAGTTTAAATGAAATTCAGCATTTAACACATTGTATAATCAATTATGACTAAAAAATGCTATAGTAAACTGAGTTGACAAATGACGAAGTGATATATGGATCAATGAGCTGAACTGAAAACTTAAATCATGAGATTTTTCGTATGTACAATATTTGGAAATTCTAACGTAAAAATAGTATTCGGTTTTATGTTGGGCAAGATGCAAATTTTTATTAACTCACATCAATCAATCAGCCAAAGTTTACAAAACAACAGAATAAATTATTAGATTAATCGTTCATCCAAAAAATTATTTCGCTATTGTCTTTGATGATCAGTGATTATCATTTAATCTACCCAATAAAAAATCCTATGAAAAAAAACGAAAATGCCAAATATTAGGTAAACAGACAAACTAATTCGCATCGGGTTACCAATTTTTGGGTCAAAAATGAACACTTTTACTAACGTTAGTTATTGCAACTGTGATATTGCACATATTTGCGTTCTTGGTTTCTTACTATTCTGTAATCATGCACTTGGCACGAATATGCGTATGTTTCGTCGATATATGGCATACTACATAGATTTAAGGCGTGATGAATTTATGTGAAAATTAATGGCGAGATGAAATTATGCGCGATAAATAAACAAAATTTGACGAATAAGTCATGCGGACCAATCAAACATAAGATTTTGCGGACGTACACCATTAAAAATGCCATAGTAACCATACACTTCGTGATTGCATCACTCCGTTCCTGGTAAACATATTAAACTACGAAAATATCTAGTAATTATACAGTAATTAAGTTATTATTTGTACTAGAAATAACTGATTATTATTTAGTTAAAATATGTGTTTTGGATCAAATTTGATATAAGGGGCCCCGCTAATAAAATTGATTACTAATAAATTGATTTAGAGTAGGGGTCCCTTATACTGATTTTGATCCTGTGTTTTTAACCAGTGATTCAACTTAAGACCAATTCTTAAATTATTATACATATTATTTATTTATACGCCGGATTTTCGTGATACGTGATTTGTTTGAGACAAAGACGTGGATATCTGCGAATAGGTTTCAATTTTCAATTTTAAAGTTATTTTATCATCTGTAAAATTTCAAATCTTCTATAATTCGAACGTATTATTTGGCTCAATATAAGATTTTTCTAAATCTTCGAGAGCTTTTTCAAATTCAAAGGTAACAAAGATATATGTATCTCCTCTTGTCTTGAGGCTGCAACATTATTCGGTTCAATTTTTTAGGACCGTATTAAATTCACAAGAGCTTCATTATATTTTCTCATGCAATGATAATTGTTCAAATAAATAATGCAATTTGATCATTTTGATCAATATTTAAGGATTTGTTTAAATCTAAATATGCATTTTCAAATTCACTATTCAATTGATAAATATGTTCCCGAAAATTTAAAGCCAATTTATCAGATGTATTGCTAGGTTCAACTTCTAAAATTTATTAAAATCTGCAATATCTTCATGCCTGCCAAACATGTGATAGATTTCTCTTTGAAATTTTAAAGCTTTAATAATATTTGGTTCAATTTTCAAAGATTCACTCAAATCTGAAATAGCTTTGTCATATTTATTATTACGCTTTGCAAAACGAAGTGACCTTTACAGTTCACAATATCGAGCAGCACCAGCGTCGCCAGTAATCGAGGTAGCAATCACGGGAAGATTGAAGATCAAGGAACCCAGTGATATCTTCATGATAATCACATCACATGATTAAGTGTTCGGCCTACGTTAGGGTTAGTGTTAGGGTTAGGTGATATGTTAGTTTAGGCTAATTTGCTTAGTGCTAGTAAACAAATGATGTAATTGCATGATGTGATGATCAATGGGTTCCTTGTTCTTCAAGTGTCCCGCAATCACATGATTTCCGACCCAAATTTTTGGAAATCCTTCAAATTTCGTTTTTCAGAGAGCTTTTTTTTTTATCTTCTGGAAGAGGTGCTTCTCTTCCAAAAGTTCTGAACTCAAAAATAAATAAATAAAAATAAAAATAAAAACCCAAAAACCAAGTTTGAAGGATTTCCAAAAAATTTTGGGTCGGAAATCATGTGACTGCTACCTCGATTGCTGGCGACGCTGGCGTTGCTACAATATCGTTTGAAAATCGGAGATTCTGTAGATTTGACCAATTTCAAATAAAATAAATATAACAGATCGAAAATATGAATTAATAGACAATTTAAAAATCTCTGAAGTTTTCCTCGTTCATCATCACAAAAATCATGGGGTCACATCTTTTTGCAAAGCGTTATAATAAATGAATTTATATCGTTTAACA